CAGAGTGTCTGATTATGGATTTCAGCAAAGCATTTGACAAAGTATACCACAGCCCTACACATAAACTTGATCCTCAAGGTATAAAAGGGAATACCATCATTTAAGGTCCAAAATTGAGAGACCGGAAACAAGCTGCAGTCGTAATGGAGAATCATCAGGATATATAGATGTAGAATCTGAGGTGCCACAAAGATCAGTACTATGCATCAGCTTGTTTTTATACTATATCAATGATATGCTAGAAAACATCAGATCCACTGTAAGATTATTTGCAGATGACACCCTTGCATATCTTACTATAAAATCAGATGTCGACAGAATCAACCTTCAAGACGACCTTGACAAACTGGCATTATGGGAACAAACCTGGAAAATGAGTTTGCATCCAGAAAAATGTAATGTGCTTACCATCACAAGAAAGAGAGAACCAACCATAAACAAATATGTACTCCATGGCCATGAACTACAACATGTGACAGCAGCCAAATATCCAGGTGTTTCTATTACATCAGATATGAAGTGGAGTGGACACATTACAACCATTAGTAAGAAAGCAAACAACACAATGAGCTCCCTCAAAAGAAACCTTAACATTAGATGCCCACCTCTAAAAGAAAGAGCATATAAAGCATTAGTTAGACCAATGTGGAATATGCCTGAACAACTTGGGTTCCATATTTGAAGGCGGATATTCATCGGATTGAGATGGTTCAGCGAAAGGCTGCCAGATACGTTGAAAACAGATACCACAACACCTCATATGTCACATGCTAGAAAATTAGAATGAACATCACTTCAAAAAGAAAAAAAATCAAGATTACGGTACTATTGTACAAAATTGTGAATGGACTAGTCCACATAGATGCCTCTAATAGACTAATAACACCAATTATACTTAGTCGAAATATGCATAGCGGTTCCTTCCAAGTACCATCTTGCCGCACAGTTGCTCAGAGGGAATCATTCTATCCAAGGACTATACGAGACTGGAATGCCCTACCCACTAATACTGCCATGGCTAAGAGTCTAGAAATATTCAAGACTCAGTTATCTGATTAATATAAATCAGTTTTGTTTTACTCGCACATTTTGATCTGTACAGCACCGTTTGTCTGTTTTGTAAATACTTTAGAATTCCTTGTAAATAAGCATAGGCACACACCGTAGTTTTATGGAAGGGAATATACGCCATAATTGTACATTTCTTAATTTGTAAAATGCAATTTCTTTATTTGTAACATGCAATTTCTAAATTTGTAACTTGTATTTTTTCCATCCGTTACATGAATTTCTAAATTTTCTTGATTTGTGAAATGTAACTTCTTAATGTGTTAATGCAATTTGTTAATTTGTTAACGTATTATCGTTCAAACAATTACATATGCATGTAATCACTTACTGATTAACTTTAGATTTTTCTGATTTAAAAACAAATTGTATCAGATTATCAATCAATAAAGTTGTATTTTATTGTATTTTGTATATTATGTAATAGAACATGAAAAATTTAATGCGTATAAATAATAAAATATTAGGTACAAGTTGGTAAAAGTACGAATTGGTAAAAGTACGAGTTGCTAAAAGTATGAGTTGGTAGAAGTACGAGTTGGTGAATATTGGGGACGTTGGCTAAGGTATAAGTTGACTGCATGGATCGACAGCGGCCTCGTGCGAAATATTGTGAAACTATCTCATTCTTGATTTGTAAAACTTCTTGATATTTAAAACTTCTTGATTTGTAAAACTTCTTGATATTTAAAACTTCTTGATTTGTAAAACTACTTGATATTTAAAACTTTTTGATTTATAACTTGTTGATTTGTAACTTGTTGATTTGTAACTTGCAGTTTTCTAGCGAAACGAAACTTCTCATTGGCTTGCAGCGGTAACATTTACACTGACACATTCATTCTCCCAAAACGTGACTCAAACAAAGAATTTACACCTCACAAATTAAGAAATGTAGAATTGTATGTAACGAACGAAGTAAATACGTTAATAAGTTAAGAGTTTCCATTTACACATTTACAAATCAAGAAATATAGAAAATCATGTAACGGATGGAAAAAATACATGTTACAAATTAAGAAATTACATTTTACAAATCAAGAAATTGCATGTTACAAATTAAGAAATTGCATTTTTCAAATTATGAAAATGTATAATTATGGCGGATATTCCCTTTCATTTAGTTTGGACAAAAAGTGGAAGAAATGATGGCGGCCACCAAACGGCCGAAGCGGAAGATAGGATTCGATGAACTGTTATCAACTTTGAATTCTTATACATATATTATGTATTCGTAGTATTGCGCTTTTCGTTATGATTGAAGAATTGCTATGCTATTTTGTCTATTGTCTCAAGTGAATCACTGATAGATATGACCCAATTATTGACTTATGACAGATCAATATAGCACTGATTTTACAAGTAAAATATACCCCCGTTGTATCTATGAAAGAATTTAGTAAAAGTTTAAATAATTTATGGTAACAAAATTCCCGACTTAATAATTTACCAGTTATACATAGATTACGTACATTAAAATCCTATTCTGCTATATTAAAAAACCAGCCAATGTAGATATATACATTCAAGGTTTTGGGAAGGGTCAAATCATACGTTGTAAAAAACTATAAAAGTTCTCTGAGAATGACATCGCAAAAATGTTTCTTTTGTCAAAATTGAGAACATGTTTGTTTCTGAAGACAATCTGTCTTACTACTGTGTCGATGTGTTCCCTTATTTGTACAGAAATATTTTATACAGAGGCTCCTAAAGAGAAAATAAGAGAGATTACATTATCCATTAAGTTGACTCTCAACTATAAAAATGATGTCTTCTAACTGAAAAAAAAACTTTTGTGACTATATTAGTTGCGTCTATCCCACTGAACTTGATAAAGGATACCACAGATACAGATAGGTCTGCTTCATATCTTCTTGTTGTCAATGGATACATGAACATATTTGTAAAACTTTATGACAAAACTTACTACACTGAAGAACATATGGTCCAGATTGTCAAAAGGGGTGGTTTTAGGACGTTTTCTTGTTAAACCCCACCACATTTTGTGACTGTACTAGACTATCTGGTCCTTTTGATGTTTGACGTAATTTGTTTTCGGAGAATTGATGTTTACAGTGTTGTTGTTCTGTATAAAATCCCAGCAGTGCCTTCATGTGGAATATATATGTCTCTCAGTTGTTACGTAGTGATGTGGTCGGTGTATCGCAATATTCAAGGGCTTGTTTTTGCTATTATGTTGTTCTTGATAGAGGTTCACTGATTTAACATGGAAGCCATTAAAAGATAGGTTTTCAAAGGAAAAGTTGGGGTACCCTCTTCAAAAGTTATGTAAGTCAACCAGTATAAAAAGCAGTAGGAATTATGGACTGTGACTGGCAATAAGAGGGTATGGTGCATACGGGAAGACGTACAGACACTGCAGATAGTTTTGCAAAAATTTGAGAGTGAACATTCTCCCAGTAACTGAAAAAGTTGTAGCATAAATCTTTTATTTATCGCTTTTTTGTATATTTTGCCTTTGATCTTTTTCTTTGTGATAATTTTTCATATCATGCTACTTGCTCGAGATAGAAATTATGGCTAGAAACTAACGTGTCATTGTCAATGTAAACATCAACAACGTCATAGGCAAAATAGTGGAAACAAATTACCAACGGTTTTTCAATTGAAAGGGTGTTTCTCAGCTAAAATCTCATCAAAGGGCGACAGCTTTTTCAAATCCTTTACCTTAGTTATCATTTTCAGTAACTGAAAAATGTGTATAAATCTTTTATAAATAAATTTCATTTGAATTGATTCTCAAATGGAAGTATGAGGAAGTTTAGAGACAAACAAACTCCAATCTTTCCAGATACTCCATCCATTATGTGGTGTAAAGATGCATCAACCAAGCACGGAGATATTTTAAACCAACTTATTTTGTGTGAGCTAAATGTATTTATTTTTGTGACTTTTGCGAGTTGAAAAATATTGTGAATTTAAATTGTCACGAATATGTGTAACTCAAATCTCTCCTTATATAAGTATATCAAGAAATAAGAAGACTGCAAAAATAAATCGCTGTAAAAATGATCAGCCAAGTGTATAAAAGATACTGTTACACAATAATAAATTTCATTCTAAGATTTTTTGCTGATTGCTTCTGCCACACCACTTGTTCTTTTGATTTTGCAACATCAATCACAAAAAAATGAGATCAGAAAATCAAAACTACAAAAACTAGAATAAGGTGATCTCAGATGCCTCCACATGCAGAAAACTCTTTAATGGTAAATTCAAAAACCTAAATTTAAATTGAAAAAAACACCAACTTTTAAGGTCAATAATGGAGCATCTTGAATGGTTTATTTCATCAAAACATGACCTGTATGTATGGTCTGTTACACTTTGAGATTCAAGTTTCAAAAGATTTGCTCAAGCTGTATTATCATAATCATCTCGAAACAGATTAAACTCAACTGTTCAGGTACCTAAGGGGCAAAATCTTGAAAGGTAAAAGTCTAAATCATCAAAATCAATATCATCAGTATTTTATGGTCCATGACATTGTTTTAAAATTTTAAAACATTTTGTCATTTGGTACTTTAATTATCATCTGGAAACCAGGGGCCTCAGTGGCTGAGTGGTCTTAAGTATTTCATCTAGGTGTGGTTTGCCTCTTTATTCTGATCTTTATCAATTAGGATTGACATATGTTCGGGTAGAGGACAGTGGTTCTCTCTGGGCATTCCAGCTGCCTTGAACAATGAAAATGGCTGCAACGATACAGTTAAGGGTGTTGAAAGTGATGAGAAACATCAACAATCAGTCAATCAATCAACTTGAAGCCAAACTTCTGACAGACTGTCAACAGACCATCAAAAGGACAGAGGGACTTGTGCATCACTATATACTCCTATCTTTTAAACCGGGGTGTGATTTGGTATGGCCTTAATATACAGTCACTGTGGAAAACGAATTCAGACATAAACAAGTTATTTCAATTGCTTGTGCAAATGTCCTTGCATATTTTATTACTTATTTCAAATCAGATTTCAACATTTGAACACTAGCAACAAGTCCTTCACCAAAAATAACAAAGTCCTCTTTAATTGCTGCAATATTTGGTTTCATTACCACTTCTGTGTGACCATTTTGTGATGTCTCTGGTTTCCGGCAGAACATGTGATTTACCTACAAAATGGAATTTCAAAATAAATACGGACTACATTTAGAAATTTGATCAAATTAAAAAAACCTAGAAGAAAAAAGATGAAAAATTCCTAATTTTTAAAATAGTTATCAATTTCAACAATTTGGACTATATCAAATGTAGAAGTAATACTGGTATATGGTAAAGAATTGTAAGGCAACAGTATACTGAAAATATACACATAAGGCAACAATCTGATGGTATACTGATTGAAAATATACACATAAGGCAACAATCTGATGGCATACTGAAAATATACACATAAGGCAACAATCTGATGGTATACTGAAAATATACACATAAGGCAACAATCTGATGGCATACTGGCAAATAACCACATACATTTGTAAGTCAACAATCTTATAGTATACAGAAAAATTTCATTACTGGTCGTCATTATAATACTTTGCCCAATAGTCAGCACTTCTGTGCACATGAAATATAATTCATAAGTTCATTTTCGGTAAATTTATTGTATATAAAATGTTGAATTATTCAAACCACAAAGTTTGTTTGAACCCCAAGACATAGACTGCCTTAGATGTACATCTATTCGGCACAAATTTTTCGGAATTTCTCTTTTTAATGCTCTTCAACTTTGTATTTGATTTAGTCTTCCAACTGTTTGGATTCTAGGGCAACTGACAAAGTCTTATGAAAACAAAATGCTTGCCTAGCGTACCAAATATGAACTTGTTTAGTTAAAGCATTCACCAGTTTGATTTGCAATCAATGGAGAATAAAAAGTAATCACTTAACTTAAATTCTTATATTTCTTTTTTGGGGGGGGAATTTTAGATAAATCAAAAATTCTTTCTGAAGACAAAAATATATTGAAACATTGAATTCACATTGAAAATTTGGCAAAAAAATATCCAGATTGAAATGCTGTTTTGTAATGCAAATTTGTTCAACTCACAAGTTTTAAAATATCATATGCAAATTGAAATATACATATTCAGAAAAAATATGTATTTTTGAAGTTAAAGGAACAATTTACGGAACCAAAATTAATTAAGAATAACAAAGTAATAAAACAAAATTGACAATCTTCAGCTTAAGGATGTACTTAGGTGAAATTAAAAAAATCTGGAATTTTAAATTGATACTATGAGTCAGAAGAGCATTAGTTTAGGAACAAAATAAACTAAAAATATTGATAGGTTATTGGGCTCCTTTTTGAGACATCTAATTTTAAAAAAATGGCGGGAAAAGGCTGACTTGGGGACTTTTACCTTATATTTGCATTGGTATTATTTGGGTCTCAAATCGAAAGAAAAGAAATCTAGAATCCGCTTAAATTTTGGTAATTGACCTTTTATGAGCTCAGGCCATAACCTTGCCGGCGAAATGACGATTTAAGTAGCCAAAGAATTTAGAAAATCGCTAAATCTCGCCGGCCGACTGACTTCATAGCAAAGTCAAATCGCTATCAAAATCGGTAGAAGGGAGACAACTTGTGATTGACAAGTCTCACAGGTAAAAAATAAAATGCTTCGCTGGGGCGCAGCTTGATACGACCGCAGAGGTCGAACCCTGAACAGTTGGGGCAAGTATGGACACAACATTCAAGCTTGATACAGCTCTGAATTTGGATTGTTATTAAATATTTGACACAGCATAGGTTTCTGACACAGAAAGAATGTGGTCTAAGAACTTGAATTTTTTTAATTTACCTATTATGGTCCAATGTCCAAAATCAAAATACATGGTTAGATTCAGCATATCAAAGAACCCCATATTTTCAATTTTTGTTGAAATCAAACAAAGTTTAATTTTGGACCCCAACTTGGACAAACTTGAAAACTGGGCCCATAATCAAAAATCTAAACACATGTTTAGATTCAGCATATCAAAGAACCCCAATAATTCAATTTTTGCTAAAATCAAACTAAGTTTAATTTTGGACCCTTTGGACCTTAATGTAGACCAATTTAAAAAACGGGACTTAAAATTAAAAATCTAAATACACAGTTAGATTTGGAATATCAAAGAACCCCAATAATTCAATTTTTGATGAAATCAAACAAAGTTTGATTTTGGACCCTTTTGACCTCAATATGAACCAATTTGATAGCGGGGCCCACAAATAAAAAATCTAAATTCATGGTTAGATTCAGCATATCAAAGAACCCCATATATTCAATTTTTGTTGAAATCAAAAAAAGTTTAATTTTGGACCCCAACTTGGACCAACTTGAAAACTGGGCCCATAATCAAAAATCTAAACACATGTTTAGATTTAGCATATCAAAGAACCCTAAGAATTCAATTTTTGTTAAAATCAAACTAAGTTTAATTTTGGACCCTTTGAACCTCAATGAAGACCAATTTTAAACAAGAAATGATTGTAACAGGATGCTGTTACGAAGTCTCCCAAACGAAGCTCCCATAATTCGTAATTCCCATGGTCGCCTGAAATTGGGCAAAGTCCAATGAAAATTGGTTTGGTCTAGTAAAGTTATATGCATTAGTGATGCCTGGGGACTAACCCTGTATATCATTCAAATCATCTTGGCATGACAAACCAGAATATATATGGTTTAGGGGTGGGGATCTCGACCATTTACAAGATATTAGAACTTTCTCAAATGGCAGGGGGTGGGGGTGACCCCTGGGGACTAACCCTGTATTTCATTTGATGTGCTTTATCATGACAAACCAGAATATATATGGTTTAGGGGTGGGGATCTCGACCATTTACAAGATATTAGAACTTTTTTAAATGGCAGGGGGTCGGGATGACCCCTGGGGACTAACCCCATATATCATTCAAACCATCTTCGAATGACAAACTAGAATATATATGGTTTAGGGGTGGGAATCTTGACCACTTACAAGATATTAGAACTTTTTTAAATGGCATGGGGTGGGGGTGACCCATGGGGACTAACCCTGTATTTCATTTGATGTGCTTTATCATGACAAACCAGAATATATATGGTTTAGGGGTGGGGATCTCGACCATTTACAAGATATTAGAACTTTCTCAAATGGCAGGGGGTCGGGATGACCCCTGGGGACTAACCCTGTATATCATTCAAACCATCTTAGCATGACAAACCAGAATATATATGGTTTAGGGGTGGGGATCTTGACCACTTACAAGATATTAGAACTTTCTTAAATGGCATGGGGTGGGGGTGACCCCTGGGGACTAACCCTGTATTACATTTGATGTGCTTTATCATGACAAACCAGAATATATATGGTTTAGGGGTGGGGATCTTGACCACTTACAAGATATTAGAACTTTCTTAAATGGCAGGGGGTGGGGGTGACCCCTGGAGACTAACCCTGTATTTCATTTGATGTGCTTTATCATGACAAACCAGAATATATATGGTTTAGGGGTGGGGATCTCGACCATTTACAAGATATTAGAACTTTTTTAAATGGCAGGGGGTCGGGATGACCCCTGGGGACTAACCCCATATATCATTCAAACCATCTTCGAATGACAAACTAGAATATATATGGTTTAGGGGTGGGAATCTTGACCACTTACAAGATATTAGAACTTTTTTAAATGGCAGGGGGTGGGGGTGACCCCTAGGGACTAACCCTGTATTTCATTTAATGGGCTTTATCATTTAGAACATTTTCAATTAAAAAGATTGTGTCTATCACAAACGATTTTCAATTTATAATCATTTGAAAATTTTTAAAAATAAAATCCCATAGGGTTCTATAGTAAAACCCTCTTTTCTTTTTGCCCCTCAAAGTACCCCTTTATAAACCCCATTGCACAAACAAAACCCTGATTGCACCACTAGACATGTTAGTCTAACATATTGTGAAACCCTAAGTTAATCTGACAAGCGGTTTTGGAGAACGGGTGCGGACAAGTTCAAATTTAAAAGCGGCGGAAGAAGAAGAAGAAGAAGAAGAAGAAGAAGAAGAAGAAGAAGAAGAAGAAGAAGAAGAAGAAGAAGAAGAAGAATAATAATAATAATAAGAACTGAGCAAAAACAATAAGTCTTCCCAAACTTCGTTTGGGAGACTTAAAAATGGGACCCAAATTAAAAATCTAAAAACACGGTTAGATTTGGCATATCAAAGAACCCCAATAATTCATTTTTTGATGAAATCAAACCAAGTTTAATTTTAGACCCTTTTGACCTCAATATGAACCAATTTGATAGCGGGGCCCACAAATAAAAAATCTAAATACATGGTTAGATTCAGCATATCAAAGAACCTCATATATTCAATTTTTGTTGAAATCAAACAAAGTTAATTTTGGACCCCAATTTGGACCAACTTGAAAACTGGGCCAATTATCAAAAATCTAAATACATGTTTAGATTCAGCATATCAAAGAACCCCAATAATTCAATTTTTGCTAAAATCAAACTAAGTTTAATTTTGGACCCTTTGGACCTTAATGTAGACCAATTTAAAAAACGGGACTTAAAATTAAAAATCTAAATACACAGTTAGATTTGGAATATCAAAGAACCCCAATAATTCAATTTTTGATGAAATCAAACAAAGTTTAATTTTGGACCCTTTTGACCTCAATATGAACCAATTTGATAGCGGGGCCCACAAATAAAAAATCTAAATTCATGGTTAGATTCAGCATATCAAAGAACCCCATATATTCAATTTTTGTTGAAATCAAAAAAAGTTTAATTTTGGACCCCAACTTGGACCAACTTGAAAACTGGGCCCATAATCAAAAATCTAAACACATGTTTAGATTTAGCATATCAAAGAACCCTAAGAATTCAATTTTTGTTAAAATCAAACTAGGTTTAATTTTGGACCCTTTGGACCTCAATGAAGACCAATTTTAAAAAATGGGACCCAAATTAAAAATCTAAAAAAACACGGTTAGATTTGGCATATCAAAGAACCCCAATAATTCATTTTTTGATGAAATCAAACAAAGTTTAATTTTAGACCCTTTTGACCTCAATATGAACCAATTTGATAGCGGGGCCCATAAATAAAAAATCTAAATACATGGTTAGAT